CAGGGTTGGATCTAGTTACCTCTTGGATAGGAGACTTCTTGGAAACCTTAGGGTTGTAGATTAGATTGGAATATTGAAAAGGACTGGAAGATGGTAATGGCAAAGCACTTCTATACTGCTGCCAGAAAACTACACGCGTTGGCAAAGTGGTCTGTTGAGCTGAACAAACAGGAGGCTTTCTTTGCCATTTGGTTGAATTATGATGTGCGAGCTGCAGTTGACGCAGGCTGTCTTTCCAAAATCTCTCTGTCCTTTTCTTTCTTGCAGACGGCACAGACAGTACTGCTTGTGGTTGCCGTCTTCCTGATCTCTTGGCTCCCGCACCACATCATCACAATGTGGGCAGAATTTGGGCAATTCCCCTTGAACAATACCTCCTTCACCTTCCGCATCATCTCCCACTGCTTGGCCTATGGGAATTCCTGCATCAACCCCATCATCTACGCTTTCCTGTCGGAGAACTTCCGCAACGCCTGCCGCCAAGTCTTCGCTTGTAAGTTCCTCCTTCAGCCGGCCCCTGCTGACAAGCTGGTGAGAATTCGTGTGGAGAATTTTTCCACCACTCACTCCACAACTAATGTGTGAAAATGGAATCATACAAAGTACTATGGGAAGAACAGCAAATAGGTGGTAATACAAATGTTCAGAAATGGACTCGTCTTGGAAAAGCTGGCCTGACCAGGCCATCCATCATGTTCACCATGGCTATATTACCCATTCTGTGTTGGCACCACTTTGACTGCCTTCTTCAGCGCTGGTCCATTTGTGGCTTAAAAGAGAGGCAGTTTGGTGTAGTGGTTAAGGTGTTGGCCTAGAAACCAGGAGACTGTGAGTTCTAGTCCAGCCTTAGACATGAAAAACCGTCTGGGTGACTTTGGGCCAGTCGCTCTCTCTCAGCCCAACTCACCTCACAGGGTTCTTGTTGTGGGGAAAATAGGAGGAGGAAGGAGCATTGGTATGTCTGCCACCTTGAGTTGTATTTGAAGAAAAAGGCGGGATAAAAATATTTTAAAAAGCGGGGGGGGGGAGACAATGTTCTAAGCTACTTCTCATACTGCCTGAAGGGAAAATACCAAATCTGTACTAAGTTCTACCTGTTGCCTGCTACTGAAAAAGGCAGTGGAAAGGAGACACCAGTACAGCAATCTCTCTTAACACTGCTGCTACCAAACCCTAGCCTTTGGCTTACCTTCAGCTTGCAGAAAGGTGCTTTTGAAAAGCGTTTTGATTTTTAGGGTGACAGTGGGTATTTTGGGTGTCTTGCCACACTTCAAAAGGTTTGCACCAAAATAAAACTGGATTCAGTACCCTCTGTGCATTATGCAAGGTTACAAAGCTTATCTTGCTTTGTGCGATTTATTTTGCAGTTTTAACTTTTTTTGTTAATTTATGGAAAGGAGCAAGGGCGGGCCACGGAACTTTTTTGCTGACCACCTGAAATCTATTTCAGCCGCCTCTCTGCCTCTGCCGGAATAATTTCAAGATCCTATTGCAACCAGAAGATCTAGAAAAGTAAAAAAAGTATCACAGGTTCAGGAATGGTATAAATTCCAAGCCAATTTAAGTCAGAAAAGTATATTATAATACATTGTTTTTATTACAGGAGAAAGACCACTTACTGCTTTCTAATTTGCAACTAGCCTGTATCTCTCTTTGTTGGAATGTAAGCAAAATATAGCAAAACAGCCTCAATAAAAGAGGCACTACAGCACGTACTCTGAAATTAGGAACTGCTGGAGGTCTGTCAATCTACGCAGCGCAGAGGGCACAATTTGAGGTTTCAACACCACAGGCAGCCCCTCAGTGCCTTGAAAGTGATCTGCCCAGTGGCCCTTCAAACACTGGGCAGCCGCTGCCTTGGGCTGCTTCTAGATGTGTGGACTACAATTCCCATAATCCTCCAGCAAATAAAGCCGTTGTAGGGCTCTCATGCAGCTGAGATTCACATATTTGGGGGAACACCCAGACTTGGGAAGGAAGACAGACATGATCTGGGGGTGATTGTACTAATTATATTTGGGTTATTTCATTTTTACTGTCAGAGTCAATGAAAATAGTTTCTATCTGGCTCTACCAGCTTTTGGAGAACAGCCCTTAGCACATCATTGAAAGTCCAATAGCAGCCCTTGCTCTGGAAAATGTAGCGTACCTGATGTAAATGATCTGTAGTTGCTTGGGTGCTGATCGAGGTGGATCACAGCAGAGGATGAATCAAATCCCATGTTTCCTTTCTTCACCACTAGAACATACAAGACTTCAGATTCCATCCAGCAGACCGAAAAAGAGACATGTTCTTTATCCAGCATTCAAACTGTGGGTGTCAGCATGTGGCCAAATGCCATCTGTGTGTAAAGGAATGGCATCAGTGGGCTTGGGAGAGTCAGAGAATCTCTGCCCCCAATACTGCTTGGAGAACTGAGGTTACCCACTGAACCTCAAATACAGTTTAACTCGGGGGGGGGGGCTAGAAAACCTCCCCAAAGAGCATGCCACGTCAACAACACTTAGTTGTGAGTTCCATTTGTAACAGCAGAAAGATGCGAGAATTTGATTTTATACATAACATACACTTCATTTTGGCCAGAGATTTAGAACTGTGGTTGTTTATAGTATTATCTTTGAAACACTGACCTGCCTTTCTCTTTAAAGGCATGAGCTGAAAACTGTAGTGTTGATTAATATTTGTGTCCAAATATGGTTTTGCTCAGTTGTCAAAGTCTGTAACTGTGCATTATTGGAATCCTTAGTTTAAAAGCCAATGGATATACATTGTTATTGTATTGCACAACTGATGTAAGAGTGCTTTACTGATTCACCTGTGATGGGAAAGAACACTTCATTTAATCTACCTTTGTAAATTTGAACATGCTGCGTTAAAATTTTCATCTCTCAGATACTAATCTACTTGCACAGCAATGCTTGCTGTGGTCTGGTTCACACAGTAGTCCAAGTCATAATGTGGCTTCTTCATTTTTGGCTTAGCATGCTAAGTGAATCCAGCTATTATGGCTTGTAAATCATGCTTTATGTTACACAAGTCCAGTCAATTGTGTTTTTTCCCCTCAACAAACCCTAACCCAGAGCTTAGCACAATGTTTAAACTGGGTCAGAGTTATGAAAATCATGATAAAAAGAATTTCTAACCTGCTCAGGCTGGTATAAAATAGCTGCATCTCGAAATGTTTAGAAGAAACAAGTTGAAATAAAGGATGTTGTTTGTATGCTAAGCTGTAAAGATTGATGGCTTGCATGGCAACATCATGTGACTCTCCATCTATCCTGCACAAATCTATAACCAACCTTGCTGACTTCCTGTTTTAGCCCAACCTTTGATTCCTAGGAATGTAAAACGGCAGCACAAATTTCAAAACGACATACAAAGCTTGGCTAGAGTCAAATTCAACAAAAAAAAAAAAAATCAGCTGCCTAAGATGAAGTGAGCTGTGGCTCCTGAAAGCTTATATGCTTAATGAATTTTGTTAGTCTGAAAAGGGTTACCAGACTTCTGCTGATTTTTGTTACTGTAGACTTGCATAGCTCCCCTACAATGTTCGACATGCATACATAGTTCAGGATGTTGATCCCAGTCAGTGTTCAAAAATGCTCTTTAGTTCACAAAGATTTTATTAATGTAGGGGTTTTCTTAAAATAGAACATTCTATTGCTGCTTCAAAAAAATCTTGTTTTTATCCTACACAGGAAAGACTTCACTAAGATTACTTTGTTAAGCAACCATCACCTTGATAATTCTAATACAGTGACAGGAAAGAGACAGAATTAAAAATGGATAAGAATCAGAAAGCCAAGGAATGGAAGAATATAATGGCAAAACAAAACAAAAAACCAAAAACCCCGCAGGATACATCTTTGAATTTCCTCAAGTATTGCTCTTCCTGCTTTTATTTCTGTACCTTTAGCAGCAGCCAGAGATGCTGGCTTTATTTGCACAGCATGCTCTGCAGGAAACCAGGTTTGTAAGCAGAGTTCACAAGCCCATTTTTAAATACAGTCCCTGCAACCAGCTGATTTTCAACTGAGACTCCAGGCTGATTTATTACCATCATTCATCCCTTTAAGCCAGAAGCTGTAGTTCAGATTTGCTATGGGTTGTAGCATCTGAACAAAAAGGATGCAAGAAGTTGGCCATTTTGGACTGGATCATAAAGTAAATTTGAAACCTCAGTTAAATTGCTATGGGTGAATATGATGCTTGCTAATTATGCTGTGTGAATGCAGCCATTATGCCTGGATATCATGCTAAGCCACAGACAAGCACATGTATCATCCTCTTACCCCTTCCCAATCATGTTTTTAACCAAAGTCCATAGTCTAAGACTTCTCCAGTTAATTAGAAATGGCAGCTGCTCTGAGGGAGATGACATGCAGTCTTAGGCAAACCATGGTTAAAGAACCAATAGTGGTTCTCTAACAGCCACCGGAGCTTTGTCTTAGCACGCTCTCTGAATATGCACATAGAGATCTTGGATATTACTGCTCATGGTGCTGCCTTGTCTTTGTACTCTTCAAAGTAAGCTGGATGACTGCAAATGTTTATACCACATCCTCAAAGCTCTCTATACAAGCCCAGAGGCAATTCATCTAGTTGTTAACATTTGTGTTCTGGCACTGAAAGCAAACTGCTGTGATTCAACCCTAGTGAGATTCGGCAGCAATACAAAAAAGTAGAGCTAGCACTAAAAATGGCTGTAGATGAGTCAACTGACGGTCTTATAGCAGGCATGATAGAAGACTTTCAACACAGAAACAATCATCATGGGAACTTGGGAAGAGCTCCCATGTTTGGTTGGAAGAACTCAAATTCCATATGATTGTGGGACATGCAACTCCATTAACTTATCACAATGGCTTGGTATATCAAAGGAATGAAGCCACTGACTGGGATCACAAACCATTAACCTATAATATGGTGAGGCACGGTGCTCTGTAGAAACCCTAAGCCAGAAACCTGTTCATATAGGCCACTGGTTTTACAAACAATATTAAGGATGTATACAATTTATTGATTTCAGAAAGTAATGTCTGCCTAGTGTACCCTGAACTGCTTTTGTTATGTGGAATTTATTTCCAGGAAACCACCAAATTGCACCTGGAATGGCACAGCCTGGAGGGGGTTTGCCATGGTCGAGAGGAGGGCCAGAACGGTATGGAATTCTCCAGACCATTTTGTACCTGAACTGCTAGATTTTACACATTCCTAAAATAATACATAAAGTCAATATTAAACAATACAAAACATAAAGGCTGAATAAATCTGGTGAATATGCTCTGTGTCTACACAGGATAGATACAATTTTCTAAAATGCATAAGAGTCGGCCTAGTGAAATAATCTGACTGTTCCATGTCAGGAGCCATATACTAGCACAATTTTATTCAGGAGCTGAGTAGGTCCAAAGCCAAATATACAAAATGTTAGAAATATAATTAGGAAACACTGTAAACAACATTAACCGTAGGTCCTCCAGGCAAATTCAGAAATTCCTCTTTTTAGACAAAGGATCCTTAACAACTATTTCCAGCCCAGGGAGTGGACTTCTTTTGCGAGCTGCTGTTTCTATTTTCCGGACAAGATCTACATCCCATCTATGGGTTACAAAGCTGACTACAGTCCCAAGGAATTTACTGCCGGTGCGACCAACTCGCCCCACCCGATGCAGATAATCAGGTAATGTCAAGGGGAAGTCATAGTTAATTATGAGCTCTACGTGAATGGTGTCCAATCCCCGGGAAGCTATATCAGTACACACCAAGATGTCAGCATCAACTCTCTGGAAGGCATTAAAAATACCAGCTCTTATAACTGCTGCTATTTCTCCCTGTAGGCGCAAATGCTTGATCTTATGGTCTTCTAAAATGTAACCAAGCCAGTTAACAGTGCTGGCTCTGTTGCAGAAAATCATAACAGCTCCAGAGGAGGGCCCTCGCTCTTTGAGGAGCTGTAGCAGCTCTGCTGCTTTGTCACAGCCCTTCAAACGTATGAATTTTTGCTCCACGTGAGGCTGAAGATGATGCAAACTGGAGCCAATCAATATGGTGAAGTTGGAGAGATCAGCAGACTCGCTCAACAGCTGACTCAGCCCCTTTGGAAGAGTAGCGCCCATAGCCACCAGCTGGGCTTTGGGATCCCAAACCTCACTGCTGTCTTCAGAACCTGGGGCTAGAAAAGCCTGCTGAACTGCATCTTTCAGGAAAGCCTGCTGAACTATATCTTTCACCAGATCGATGAATGAGGCATCCAGCAGAGTGTCCACTTCATCCAACACCAAGAAGAGCAATTTCCTCAGGGACAATATCCGCCTCTTCAAGGCTTTGCTCAGGGCACCCGGTGTGGCGATCAGGAGGTCAGTGGGACCCGCACGGACCCGGCGCCGAACCACGGCCATGCCCCGGCCACCGCCAACCTCCTTCACCTGCAGGCCCAAGGGAGCGCCCAAGGACGCGGCGACTCGGCGTACCTGCCCCGCGAGTTCTCGGGAGGGCACCACCACCAGGGAGCGGGGGGAGGACGCGTCAGCCTCCCCCTCAGGGAGCCTCTGGGCCTGCAAGAGCCGCTGGAGCAGGGGCAGCAGGTAGGCCAGGGTCTTGCCGCTGCCGGTTT